AAAAAAAAAAACACGAAAAAAATCCTATAAAATAGTAAATTATTTTAAAATATGTGAGATGAAGGCCAGGTGTGGTGGCTCACATCTGTAATCCCAGCAGTTTGGGAGACCAAGGAAGGATTGCTTGAGTCCAGGAGTTTGAGACCAGCCTAGGCAATATGACAAGACCCAATCTCTACAAAAAATTTTTAAAAATAGCTGGGCATGGTGGCATGCGCCTATGGTCCCAGCTATTCAGGAGGCTGAGGCAGGAGAATTACTTGAGCCTGGGAGATCGAGGCTGTAGTGAACCATGATTGTGCTACTGTACCCCAGCCTGGGTGACAGAGCTAGACCTTGTCTCAAAATTATATATATACATAATTTATGGATGGATTTTTATATATATATATATATATGGATGACAGTAATATAAAATATTTTTAAAACAATCTTTAATGATAAAGTTTAGTAAGATCCCTGTGTTTTATGTGGCTTCACTGATATTTGTATATAAGTATATTAAGAAGAGATTCAGATCTCTTCTGTTATATTCTTAGAGTTGATCGCATTGCTTTTGTAATTACTGCGTAAAATACGGAAACCTTTTTTGACTAAAGGCTTAACAGAAGTGCTGTAATCCATTGAGTAAATAGAATGCATGGCATGAGAAAGTATTAAATAATTTCGAGGAAATGTTTTTATTCCACATAATTTCTCTTACATTATTGGGCTTTTCTTGTAATTTCTTACTAAAATCTTTCACTGTTGTTATATTTGTTTTGAGTTTAATTTAGCCGGGATATGGAATAATTACTCCTGGTTTGAGACTGCTGAGCACTACAGGACTAGCATCCCTGGCACTGCCACTAAATGCTAATAGCAGTGCCCTCCTATCATTGGGCAAACCAAAATGTGCATGCACACACACTCCCAATCAAGAATCACTGTCTTAGCTCTTTCTATTGTATTATAAATGAACAATTAAAGTTCTTAACATGACATTTTGGAGATTAATTTATCAGCCTGTTAAATATATGCATTGAATCTCTACCTCTTCAGTAATTCACATATAATCTGGAAAATCTATATCCAAAGAGGGGTTGAAAAACAGGAATAATCAAGAGTCTACTACATTATCTCCACACTTAGATTCCATTGAGAATCTAAAAGTAGTTTAACTTACATTTGAGGCAAACGTATTTTAGGACATGTTGCTAAGAGTAAATATTACAAATAAGTAATTGTGAATCTGTAGCCAAGGAACCCTTTGGGAATTTTCATGATTACTATGAATGGTGAAGATAGTTTTGAAGAACTATTCTTTGAAGGATGGAATGTTAACATTTAAAGGACCTGTGAAGAACTCTGGGCCAAGGTTCCCACCTGATACTCTAAGCCATTAGAGAATTAGGCATGCTGATTCTAGATTCTTTGTCTTTTATGAAACCACATCTAGAGTGTATTTACCAACATCCCTGTGGTAATGAGTTTGCAAATCATCATGTATATGATACATGATATATATTATGTAAATATGATACATGTGAATACATAAATAGGTAAAGAAACCCTTTTAGCCTTGTTTAATACAGTTTCTCCTTAAATCCATTACGCTGGAAATACTTGTTTGGGGCACAACTAGCAGCACAGTACATCAGTCACAGCACCAAGCATCTTTCATTTATTGTGTTGTCTAGTGCACACCACAGCCCTACAAGGTAGATATTATTGCCCATCTCTCCTTTATAGATAAGAAGAAGGATAAATTAACTTAATATGCCAGCATTTGAACCCAGTTAATTTTTAAGTTTGCTGTTAATTGCTAGATAGGTTCACAGTCCTGTTTTTCACAACTTCAGAATGGAAAAAGCTCTGAAAACTGCAAAACCTAACATGAACTAAGTTTTAATCCTACATATTGTGAATATTTATATATTTTACTGAAACAAATAAAAAGTAATGTGTTTGATTATACTTGCTGCCCCAGATAGCCCAGAAGGTATTTTATAAATATAGTATGAACTCATTTCTAAACAGTGTTGTGGTTTTAATAACTGAAAAATGTTGAACTTCAAAAGGCGTCTGACCCCATGGGTTTCTTAAGAGTGAGATTGTGACCTATACCTTTATCTACATGCAGTTAACACAAAAGATAATTACTTACATGTAACATAAATGTAAGTTAAAGAATGATGAACACTGGAAGCCTACCACCTGGCTTAAAAAAATAGAATGTTATCAACTCATTTGAAGACCCTGTGTGCCTATCCTCTATTGTATCCCTCTCTCTCATTCCCAGAGGTAGCTACTATTCCGAATTGTGTATATGTGATTCTCTTGCATTTAAAAAAAATAACTAGAGACATTTTCTTATGTTCCTACTTTCTGACATTTGTTGGTAACTTGTTTGCTGTCATCAGGAAGATTTCACCTCAGATTTACTCATGTTTGCTTAAGTGTGTCTTAGGTGATTCTGTCTTGTAAGAATTGCATGAAATAATTGAAATAGGAATAAATCTGAAGTCACTTTGGGCTTGCAAAAAAGAAAAATTGTATGCAAAATTGTAATATATAATATATAATATGTATAATACATATAATGTTGTATATTAGCATTATGTTAATGTTAACTCACCAATGTAGTAAAATCTATAACAGAACATAATTCCTGGATAACCGAAGGTTTTGAATAGTCCTTGGGTATTTGGCATAGGAGGATTTAATCTGCTTTTTAAAATTTGTTGACTTTTCTTTTTTTTTCAGAAATGGATTGACTTGCATCTAAATGAAATTATTTATCTAATGATCTCTTGGACTTAAAGCCCTTTGTTTCTGCAGTTACTTTGCATGAGTGTTTACTACCTCTCAGTCAGCATTCTTTACAGCATTAATACACACAGGAGGAAGGACCACCTGCGTTAGAATCACTGTAACTTGTTGAAAATCCACATTTCCAAACTGAACACCCAGATATTCTAATTCAGTACATCTGAGTGAGGTTCAGGATTCTGTATGTTTAACAAACATCCCAGGTGATTTTCATAAAGACCAATGTCCGAGAACCACTGCTTACAGGAATCAGAGTACTTTACTGGCATCTTTGAACTCTTAGGATCCTAAACTACCTGCTTTCTTTTCGCTTGTCTTAGCTTTCTAAACTTGGAATTAGGAGGCTTATTCAAGTCCTGGTTCTTCCACTTTCTGGCTAGCAATCTTGGGCAAGTCATTTAAATTCTGCAACTGTTTCCTCATCTGTACAATGAGAACAATGATGTCTTCACTGCCTAGCCTCCAACATATTTGTGATTAAAGAAAAATGAAATAAGATAGTAATTTTCCATTATAAAGTACTCCACACTGTTAAGTTTGTTGCTTTTTTTTTTTTGCTTTTTTTTTTTTTTTTACTGTTTCCGAAGATTATTGTCTTGGGTCACTGGCCTTTTGGGTCCTAAAGTAGGAGGAGTCCTTGACAGTGCTTTCCAGGTAGTACTCTGAATTTACAATAGGGCTATTCAATGCTCATACTCCTATGCTTAGGGTGTCTGGATGAAACATACTTCTGCTTCTGATTTCTTAGTTTTGTTTTATATACTGTGCTATGATTTAGCTCCAGCGGCGCCATGAACAAATGAAAAAGAATTTGGAAGCACAGCACAAAGAATTAGAGGAAAAACGTCGTCAGTTTGAGGATGAGAAAGCAAACTGGGAAGCTCAACAACGTATTTTAGAACAACAGAACTCTTCGAGGTAAGTAATAGCAGATTACTAAGAAATGTGTGTATTAATGTTTTAAAGAATTGTTTTCCTACTTACTTAAAAAACATTAGAATAACACTTAAAAAGTCATCACCCATTATCATGCATTCCAAACACAATGGTTTTCATGGATAAATATTTTTATATGGATGGATACAGTCTGTGTCCATTAGCAGTATTTTTCAGTACATCTTTCATGACTTAATCTTCGTAATTATGATTTAGCAGCTTCATAACATTCTCCCCAGTTAACTTACCTTAATTGGATTTCTTACCTCCTCCCCGCAATTGTTGGACATAAGGGTTGTTGTCAATTTTTGGCACACAAAGGGAACATTCTTCAAAATCTGTTACATATTTAGAAATACGTTTTAACTGTACTGGATTATGTTGTTACGATAAAATTCTTAAGACAAAATGTTAGATATTTAATTTCCATTACAGCTAATCAATTACTTTCTCTTAATTTATACAAAATTCAATAATATTTGAATTTTTGGTTTTCTTTTCCTTAATAGTTTCATTTAAAACTGAAAAGTGGCATTCCTATAAGGATTATATAGTTTATCCTCATTACTAAACATTTTCAGATTTGACATTTGTTCTACTACACTATACTACTGTTAACATTTTCCCCAAAGAAGAGGAAAACAGATTTGTAAAAGCAGTTGCACTGCAGAATGCAAATGACAGTGGGGGAAAAGAACACCCTGTTTAATGCTGGTTGATATTTTTTAGTTTGTGCTGTTTCATTTGGAAATAATTGTTCTTGTATATTAAAATTGGGTTTTGCCATATTTTTTACTATTTATCCTGGAGTTTTGTCAAATATTTGTCTAAGAAAATACTATTATAGATTAACATTGTCTTAGCTGTTTACTTCTAAGTCTTTTAATTTTTTTCAATGAAAAAGTATCTGAAAATCCCAACATTGTTGTAATTGGATTAGTTGTTGTTATCATGTTTATCAAATGGTTACTCATCTTGATTATTTCCCTTTCATCATTTAGAACCTTGGAAAAGAACAAGAAGAAAGGGAAGATCTTTTAAACTCTCTATTGACCACCAGTTACGTATTAGTTGCCAATATGCCAGCTTGGACATCAGTGTTTGTTGGATCCGTTTGACCAATTTGCACCAGTTTTATCCATAATGATGGATTTAACAGCATGACAAAAATTATTTTTTTTGTTGTTGTTCTTGATGGAGATTAAGATGCCTTGAATTGTCTAGGGTGTTGTGTACTTAGAAAGTAACAGCTCTAAGTACCTTTCCTACATTTTCTTTTTCTTTTTTTATTAAACAGATATCTTCAGTTTAATGCAAGAGAACATTTTACTGTTGTACAATCATGTTCTGGTGGTTTGATTGTTTACAGGATATTCCAAAATAAAAGGACTCTGGAAGGTTTTCATTGAGGATAAATTGCCATAATATGATGCAAACTATGCTTCTCTATGATAATTATAATACAAAGGTTCCATTCAGTGCAGCATATACAATAATGTAATTTAGTCTAACACAGTTGACCCTATTTTTGACACTTCCATTGTTTAAAAATACACATGGAAAAAAAAACCCTATATGCTTACAGTGCACCTAGAGCTTTTTTATAACAACCTCTTTTTGTTTGTTTGTTTTGGATTCTTTAAATATATATTATTCTCATTTAGTGCCCTCTTTAGCCAGAATCTCATTACTGCTTCATTTTTGTAATAACATTTAATTTAGATATTTTCCATATATTGGCCCAGCTAAAATAGAATATAGCATCTTTCATATGGTAGGAACCAACAAGGAAACTTTCCTTTAACTCCCTTTTTACACTTTATGGTAAGTAGCAGGGGGGAAAATGCATTTATAGATCATTTCTAGGCAAAATTGTGAAGCTAATGACCAACCTGTTTCTACCTATATGCAGTCTCTTTATTTTACTAGAAATGGGAATCATGGCCTCTTGAAGAGAAAAAAGTCACCATTCTGCATTTAGCTGTATTCATATATTGCATTTCTGTATTTTTTGTTTGTATTGTAAAAAATTCACATAATAAACGATGTTGTGATGTAATAGTGTGTGGGGTCTTAAATATCCTACAGTCGATGTACTGGACTAGAGTATGTTTGGGAAGAAGCTTTTCAACTTGAGTTTGCCTCCTCTACGATGACATCTTTTATATGCTTGTCTCATTTAGAATGCATATGTGCTGGTTTTCTAATTTAAGAGATACCATATCTCTATTCATTTCTGTCTCTCATTTGTATGCTTATTTTTCTGAGATCAATTTTTTTTTTCCCCCCAGACAGGGTCTTGCTTCATTGCCCAGGCTGGAGTGCAGTGGCACAAACATGACTCACTGCAGCCTCAACCCTCTGGACTCAAGCAGTCCTGCTGCCTCAGCCCCCTGAGTAGCTGGATTGCAGGCGTGCACCACGACACCTGGCTAATTTTTCTATTTTTTGTAGAGATGGGGTTTCATTATGTTGCCCAGGCTGATCTCGAACTCTTAAGCTCAAGTGATCCACCCACCTCAGCCTCCCAAAGTTCTGGGATTACAGGCATGAGCCATCATGTCTGGCCTCTGAGAACAGTTTCTAACTCATTCAGATTAGGTATACTCTCAAGTTCCTGGAAACTGAAATTTTTTTAACTGGAAAGAGGGTAGTATAATTTCTTTTCTCAAGGTCAAGTGACATAGATTTTAACATAATGCATAATTTAAGTAAGAAATTAAGTAAGTAATGTAGCCCAGTTTATTATTTTGAAATGTTTTACCCTGTTTACTTTTTAAAATTAAAGACCTAAGCAGAGGGAATAATTATAAGTCAATAGCAGAGAGATTGTTGTTTGGGTGTTTATTTTTTTCCGTTTTTGTGTTGAGAGATTGGGTTAACACCTCTAGCCAAAAATGTTTGGTTTTAGGGAGGCTAAGAACAACCTACTGAATTTGGAGAATGCAAAGGTAAAAAGTGTATATAGACTGCCTGCCTAACTGGTTAAGTACTACTGCTTCTGGGAAATATTATTTCAAAATTCTGTGTATTATTATAATAAATTTGTAAGACACATTCATTATTCTACCATCCTAATGAAAACTTTCAGAAGTCTTTATCCATGGCATGCCCAGGGTTTCACCTGAATCTGATATAGCATCTATATAACTTTACTTTTACTAGGACTTTTGATTTTTGACTCTAGGCTTAAGTATGTCAGAAGGCTCTTTTTGCTATTTGGCCTGTGGATTTCTGAGAGGATCATTCACAATACATGTAAAATTCAGGTAGGCCTAAAGAAAGGCCAGCTTGTAGAAAGCAGAATGGCAATGTCTGTTCTCCACTGTCAGAGGCATTATGTAATTGAAGTATCCTGTTAGCCACTGTCTTTTTGCTAATTAAGTGGGGCTGAACAAGTAAGCACTAATACCGGTGAACCACTTGGGCACCTTGTGGATAGAGTTTTGCTGCCACCTAGTGGAATGGGATATCATTGCTTCCATAGCAGGTTCACAAGCAAGTTAAGTGGACACAGCTTATTTCTGTGTAGCTCAGGCTGTAATCTTGAAAGCTGAGGAGATACAGACCCATGCCTCTCGGATTCATTAGCTGGGTGTCACATTACCACCTGCACATTCTGACCCACCGCATCTTAATATGTTTTATCCTCTTGGAGGAACTAATCTAGGAGTAGAAGTCAGAATATGGTAGCTGAGGGGGAAAAAAGGAAAGATGGCTTGATAGCTGCGAATGCATCAGCAGCAAAATGTTGACTCAGAAAATTATCTAGATCACGGTCTCCAAACCTGATGCTGTTTCCTTACGAGAATATTTTTGAGCATGTGTCCATAACTATATGTATTAGTCAATGAAAATATGTGTCAACAAATGTACTGCTACACTAATGTGAAAATTATGAAACAAAATTTGAAAGAGTGAAATAAAAAGATTTGCACTCTTTTGCCAAGCCCCAGTGAATTATTACTTTCTACCTTGGAGGCCATCGATCTAGGTAGTATGTGGATAGTTAATAGTTATTGTTGAATCACCAGGGAAGGTCCTAGTGAAGACCGCTGTAATGTCCTACTTGACTTGAAAGGAAAATTTGCCACATGAGTAAATCGCAGTCCTTTCTGATGATAAGCTTGCAAATGTAAGTCCTTGTACTTCATTCAGAATTTTACCTGCCCCTTTTGTAATAACTTCCCGTAGCTGTCCTGTTCCAGATGGTAACCTAAGTAGTTACATGTGTTATTTAATCCTTAATGATAACAATTGTATAAGTTACCTATTAGGATAACTTATTAATACATTAATAAATGAATAAGTTGCTAAACATTTTAAACCCTGCTTCCTCATCTGCAAAAGGATGAGGAAACTGAGGGTTTAAGATGTTTAGTAGCTTATTCAATAGGTGGTAACTGGCAGAACCAGAGTTTGAACTGGTCTTGGTTACATCAGGGCCTGTGCTTAAATCTTAAGCCTTACAAGTACCTGGTCTGTTACACTGCCACATTTCTGAAGCATGATCTTCTACAGAGTTGTTAGCACAGAGCAGAAGCTCCCTGATTAAAGGGTCAGCTGGCCACCAGGCAGCCTGGAGAAGCAGAAAGCACCAGACACGCTCATTGTCTCAGTTTAGACCCCGACTCTGAATTGGGCATGTAACTTCTCTGAATGTTTCCTCAGCTATAAATGGGCCCCATGCCTTCCTTGCTGGTTTGGAGTGAGGATTACATTGTGACTGCACACGTTAAGGTGTCCAGACCTCAAGAATGTGACAATCTGCTGGGGTCATGACAGACCAAAAAGTACTCAGTTTTAGTGATGGTTTATTTTTAGGAAATGTGCATAGTGCCATGATAAGTCTCGGGATCTGCTTCTTTGTGCACAGAGATAGTCTTCTGGAGTTAATTTCATGGCAATAAGGTAATTTTGGTCAAAAGAGGGAAGGTGTTAGTAATTGGAGTTATAAAATACATCATTCTTTGTAAATAATGCTGAGATGGTTTATCAGAGTCTCATGTTTAATGAAAACTTTTGCTGCTTTTCAAGCAAATTATGGTTCCCATAATTTGGGATTAATCCATAGAATGTTCAAAATTTAGTGTCAGCCATTTTCAGCAGAAAATAGGGGCTGACAATTTCCTGTGTTCTTTAGAAGACTTTGAAAGCTTCATGGGAAGAATGAAGACTATTCTTGGCCAGAACATTTGTCCCATGGGGTGCTGGACCCAGCCAAGCAGCCTTGTATTAGCAAAGGAGGGCCAAGTGAAAGGAGACCTTGTTCTGTGCCAGGCTCTCAAAGGGTAGCCTGAAACCCTATTGGCCACATAGAACCTCTGTTTTAGATGCTGTTTGTGGACCTGCCGAAATCTAATGCCACTCAGGGCTTTCTGAAACCCTATGGGGGTGGGAAGAGGCAGTAGTTGACACCTCTGAGAGAAGAGGTTTGTGAAGACGTGGCATAGATGAGGAGGCTAGCAGAGGGGGGATAATCAGACACTACCAACAAACTTCCTTTTTATTCTCTTCGTTCTCTCTTTGAGGTGGGCCACCCCACTTAGCTCCCTTTTGTACAAGTATGTTGCAAGGGAGCAGCATTTCACTGGGAGATTTGCATGTAAGTAGAGCACAGATTCCCCTGGGTGAGGGGCTGGCTCTCACCCAAGTTTGGGGATACCAAACTAACTTGTTCTGGCAAAGGCATACAACATTTTTAGCCCTCATTTAATTCTGTTGTCTTTGAATTTTGAATGATCTCTTTCATATTTAAATATATGCTCTACTCTAGTGTAGCACAGAAAAATTCCGTGTCTTGGATAAGCCAGTAGTTTTAAGCAACTTGGCAAATGGTGAGTGAAACAATGAGCACTCTGGTATGGACCGTGGTGTTAATGTGAGCTTTTTTCCCACGTTTCAGAAGTCAGGGAATGTATCGGTGGGATGTACTGGGAGCTGTCCAATTTTTTTTTTTTTTCCATAGGGATAAATCTCAATGTGTTTATACAAATCTCTGGCTTAGCCTGATAAAGTTAAAAAACAAAACTAAATGTTGTATACAATATTTCGGGAACACAGTTCTCTCAGACACAAATGAAGTCTTCCTTAGACCTTTGTATTGCTGGGCAGAGGTGCCAGGAACTCAAATTGGCATTTTCTCTCTCAAATCTCCACCTCATTAGTGCCTAATTAGACCCCATCCCTAAGAGTCAGGTGCTTGGAAGATGAACTGGAGACCACTGATACAAGTTCACCTTCTGTAGTCTCCATTCAGGTATGATTGGCCTGATTATAGCTCATGTCCTGAAAAGGAGATAGATTTTTTTTCTCCCAACTTGTAAGGACTGATGAATTCATCCCACCAAATATGAATGTTTTAGACAGTATTGAAACTGGGAAAAATACCTGCCTGAAAAGGGAGAGAGAACTCACTTGGAAGTCTAAGGGAAGGAAACAAAATTGGAAAAGCGCAGCAACAAGTGTCTTGGAGACCTTGCTATGTGCAAATACAGAGCGTTCACATAGACTCTGAACTAGAACTCATGAGAATGCTATGACATGGCCATTTCCACCTCTTTATAAAAACAAGCAAGCTAAAATTTCACTGTGTGATTCTGTAACATTTGTATTTGTTATCCATTGTTCCACAATAAATGCCCCTCAATCCTGGCAACAAAATTTAAACCACAACAATCTGTAATAGTAACATTCGTTATCTTAGTTTCTGCAGGTTAGGAATTAAGTGGTTTAGCTGGGTGGTCTGGCAGGGTGCCTTGCAGTAAAGATGTTGGCTGAGGCTACAGTCAACTGTGGGCTTCAGTGGGAGTGGAGGATCTGCTTCCACGATGACTCACTGAAATCACTGGCAAGTTGATGTTAAGCCCCTTGCCACATGGACCTCTCCACAGGGCTGCTTGAGTGACCTTGTGACATGGTGGCTGGCTTCCTCCCAGAGCAAGTAGTCCAAGAGAGAGCAAGGCATAAGCCACGTGGCTTTTATGACCCAGCTCTGAGAGTCACACACATAATTTCCCAATATGCTATTGCTATTGCAGCTTCGTTCTGTTCAATACG